GCATCAGCTTTGCTGTAGTGTAGCCAGTGGCTTCATGCTCTGCTGTTCTATAGGTCATCAGCAGTAGAGGGAGTAAAACATCCCAGTCATCTTGGTGGCTATTACAAAACTTTGCCAATTCCTGTTCTAGTGTCCAATTGTACTTTTATACCATCCCATCAGACTGTGGGTGAAGTGGCGTTGTCCCGGTCTTTCATATGCCAAACAACTTGCAGCATTCATGGAACACAGCTGATTCAAAGTTACGGTCTTGATATGAATGCAGTTCGTATGGCATACCAAACCTGAAGAAGAAATCACTAACAGCGAAAGCTGCTGTTGTAGCTTCCTGATTTGGTATTGCATATGCATCACCACACAAATGTACCTGTTTCCAGCACGAGTTTGGGGGCAAAGGACCAGCAATGTCAACGGCTACTCTTTCCATTGGTGCGCCAACTTGATATAACTTCATTGGAGCACGTCCCTTATGCTTGAGTCTCCTTTTAGCACAACATATACTGCAAGTGCTGCACCATTCTTCCACATCTTACCTCATACCTATCCAGTAAAATCTCTGTCGTAGGTGGCACAATGTATTTCTTAGCTCCGAGATGTCCTCCTGTTAAACTATCATTGGATTGATGCAGCATAACTTTCTAGGTAGAACTGTTTGCCAGGTCGTCATTTTCCCATCTGCAGTTTCCCATCTCTGGAGAAGAATACCATCTTCAAGCTTCAACTGGTCCCATTGTGCCCAATAGTTCTTAGTCACAGGGCTTAAGCTAGACACCTTCTCCCAAAGCAGGGTGCAAAACACTTGCTTTTAGAAAATCAATTATTGGCTTCAAATCTTGGTCTTTCTCCTGCTCTGCTTTAATATCAATACCTGGTTCCATTTCACCGTCATCAACTCCTTCATTCACTTTGACTTTCAGCTGGTTTCGGCAGAGTTTTCGGCTTAGTCCATCAGCATTTCCATGAGATTTTCCTTCTCTGTATTCAATATCATAATTATACTGGTCTATCTTTCCAATCCAATGTGTCAGTTGTCCCTCTGGGTTTTTTAATGATCTTCACCAGCGTAATGCAGCATGGTCTGTCCTGATGGTAAACCTAACCCCATAGCAGTTAGGATGGAAATATGTCAGACTCTTTACGATAGCATGGAGTTCCCTCCGTGTTGTACAGTAGTTCCACTCTGGTCTACTCAGGACCCTACTGAAGTAGGCCACCACATGTTCCTTTTCACCCACTTTCTGAGACAACACTCCTCCAGTTCCGCCATTACTAGCATCACAATCCAGTATGTACAGCTGTGAGAGATTTGGAAGCTTTAAAAGTGGAGCTGGGGCCAATTTTTCTTTCAATGTCTTGAAAAAATGCTGGCAAGAAACTGTCCATTCGAACTTCTGATCCTTTTTTGTCCAATCATGTAGTGGAACAACTATAATCCTTCACAAACTTCTGGTAATAGGTACAGATTCCCAAGAAACTTCTTTACTCTCCCACATTGTCTGGTGTTGGCCAATCATGCACTGCTTTCACCTTGTCAGGATCAGTTCGCACACCATTTTCACTTACAATGAATTACGTACCACATAGTTCCTTTATTATATCAGTCTGAGATAATGACTTCTGTGATAATATTATAATTACGTAACACACAGTTTCTTTACAATATCAGTCTGAAATAATGACTTCTGTGATAATATTATAGTTACGTACCACATAGTTCCTTTATTATATCAGTCTGAAATAATGACTTATGTGATAATATTATAGTTACGTACCACACAGTTTCTTTACAATATCAGTCTGAAATAATTACTTCTGTGGTAATATTATAGTTACGTACCACACAGTTTCTTTACAATATCAGTCTGAAATAATTACTTCTGTGATAATATTATAGTTACGTACCACACAGTTTCTTTACAATATCAGTCTGAGATAATGACTTCTATGGTGATATTATAGTTACGTACCACACAGTTCCTTTACAATATCAATCTGAAATAATGACTTCTGTGGTAATGTTGTAGTTATGTGCCAGAGTTTTTATATTGCCAGTATATGAAATAATGACTTTTGTGGTAATATTGTAGTTATGTACCACACAGTTTTTTACAATGTCAGTCCGTGAAATAATGACTTTTGTGGTAATATTGTATTTACGTACCACACAGTTTTTTACAATATCAGAACCTGATTTTTTGCACTTAATTACCTTAAGTCAACAATTCAACTTGAATTTAAAGGAGATTCTTTTATGTCGTGTGTCATACTGTAGGTAATTGTAAAAATCTTTCATGACAGTGACGACGTTATTTACATGAACCTAGAACAAGTTTCCTGTCAAAGGATACTGTCGCTGTGATGG